CCAGGCAGCTACCAACATATATAAAAACATAATAAAACATTTTTAAAAATCCCTATACAGGATAACCTTCAGACAACTTGGGGGTCACATAACCCCATACCCTCTGGCATCAAATCAGAAACTGACAACAGCTTCTGTAAATCAGGGACATCCCTGGAAGACAGTGGCACTTGGAGGGTCTGTCTTTCCCTGATTTTTCCTTTGCTGTCTCTGGTCTCCTGCCTCCATTCAGCAGAAGAGGGATCCTTCATACGGAGAAGGATCGGGGCCAACAGGGCATAGTTGGTGCCTTCAGATGACTGTAGTGAAGGGAAAACCATTTGGAGGAACAGATTGTTGCAATTCTTGGAAAGGGATGGAAAGAGCACGGCTACATCGTGGTTTGGTTCTTCAGGTACTTGTTAAAGTTGTTCCATGGAATTCCTGATCTGGACCTTGTGTGGGAAATGAGTTCTCTCCATCACAAGAATAATTTTTGAAGCTTTACTGCACAAGAGTCTCAAACAGTCTTACAATAAGATGAACTTGATAAAGAAGCACGTTGCAAACAATGTTCAGTCCTTTATGTAATCCTGTGAACTTTCCTCTCTCTGGTCCCAGAGGGAGATCCTAAGCTTCTTCATCATTGCAGAACTTATTTGCAACTGCTGCTGCTTCTCCTAGCCATCTCCAACAAGCATCCACTGACTTCTCAAGTTTAAGCTTCCTTCTGTTAGAGCTCTGCAGCTTCTGTTTCCAGCGATGAGTTATTAGGAAAGATACCAGCCTCCTCTGATGCTTTTGTCAGAGTGGAACCTCTGAGTGGAACCTCTTGCCGAAAAGGTTGCACTCTTTCTTCTTCTATGTTTGCTACATATGCCACAATGTTCTCTCTCTTTTTCTCAAATGTTCCAGGCGACCACAAATGAGTGTCTAAAGAGAAACCAAAAGCTCAGAGTTGGGATGGGGGGGAGGCGTGAATATCAGGTTGCCTTGTAGTGCCTGGGAGCCCTGCTATTAGATTTGCATCTCATAAATGTTGTAGAAGCCTTTAGGTTTTTTAGCTGTATATTTAAAAAACAAGGCTCTCATGAGATGTTTCATTCTTTTGTTATTCTGACACTGCATTGTACAGGAGCACGTTTGCACAGCTGTTAAAAATAGTGATTTTTTAATATGAGAAAAGACTAAAAATGCATTCTAAAGGGTTTCTTTAGAAGCAGAACAAGCATTTTATTTTATTTTAAATAACAGAGGGATGAGGCCCAATTCTTAGTGCTCATCCCAGGTTAAAGATTAGCAGCCACACCCTCACAAAAAGCTATGAAAGGATTTTGTTAGCAAGTGTCAAGGTGAATTCCTACCTTGTATTCCTGGGCTGCCTCTTCCTTGAGAACCACAGTTCTCACTGTGGACGCGGGTGGCGCTGTGGGTAAAACCACAGTGCCTAGGACTTGCCGATCGTATGGTCGGCGGTTCGAATCCCCGCGGCGGGGTGAGCTCCCGTCTTTCGGTCCCAGCTCCTGCCCACCTAGCAGTTCAAAAGCACCCTTAAAGTGCAAGTAGATAAATAGGTACCGCTTTATAGCGGGAAGGTAAACGGCGTTCCGTGTGCTGCTCTGGTGCAGGCTCGCCAGAGCAGCTATGTCACACTGGCCACGTGACCCGGAAGTGGCTGCGGACGGCGCCGGCTCCCGGCCTCTAGAGTGAGATGAGCGCACAACCCTAGAGTCTGTCAAGACTGGCCCGTACGGGCAGGGGTACCTTTACCTTTACCTTTATGCTGCCTATAGCCAGCCCTGGTCAGCAATGTGTCTGCAGCTCTTTGAGCCAGTTGAACTTTCTGAGCACAGAAAGTTCCAGGCAGAAAGTACATGGCAGCCCCATGTAGAGTGTGTTACAGTGACCCCTACACAACGTGGCACCAGACTGCCTCTTGGGGGGGGGGTAATTATCTGTTCTAAACACTGCAAAGAGAAGAAGATAGCATCCCTGTTTGCCTCTGTAAAAGCGCTTTCATCTTGACCTGCCATACAGCATAGGTCTTGGGCGTGAGGAGAGGAAAGGGCAGAGTCATCTGGCCAGAATGTGCACAGGCCATGTCTGCTATCACTTAAAGCAAGACACTTCCTTCATGCAACACAGATAAAGCCTTGACTCCTTCAGCCACTCTCTCTCCCACTCAGAGCGCAATTAACAGGCAAACAGGGATGCTATCTTATTTCCTTTTGGCAGTCAGCAACACAGCTCCATAAATCAAGCAGCAGCAACAGCGGCAGCTTGAACACTCTGCTCCAAAACAGCTCTGCTTCTGGGCACCACAAATCAGTCCAGCATGCAGCCTCCGTTCCGCCGTCCAGCAATCAGCAACAGAAACCTCTGGCGACTGGGATGACTGGGACAACGTCTGGTCAGACGACTGGAACAACGACTGGGCCCATAACCGATGTCAGCATCGCCCTTGAGCCAGTGCCACCAACTGGACTCATCCACTTCAGCCCCGACTGGGCTAGGCGAGCTGGGTAGCACTTCCAGAGACCACCTTCTGCACAGGAACAGGTCAAAGTGCTGTGGACTCACAGCTTAGAGTTGTGAGCACCAGATTCACTTCCACAAGAAGACGGTCGTCGCACAGCAGAGTATAGCAGAGTATAAACGACTCGGAGAGCAGCTCTGTAGAATATCTTTATTCTATCTACAGCTATAATACACAACTATGTACAGAGCTTAATGAGGTCTAAGCATAAATGAATGCTGAACCGCACTGAGTGCCTGCAGCTGCTCTTAGCAGCAACCTTATCTATACACACGATCTCTAACACTCAGTCTCTCTCTCTCCAACACACTGACTGACTGACTAACTCTTTGATGTGGTGCTGGAGCAGAATAAGTAGAGAGCAGAACATCGCCCCTCCTCTCTGGAAAATCACCAGACTCATCAGGAGATTCTTGGATATGGGAGGGGTGAAATCTCCTCACTCCCTTGGACCCCTTCCATGACACCAAGGGGAGCTCTTCTTCTGGGGCTGAAAGTATTGGCGTGGAGGTTTCATTTCTGTCATGACTGCAAGGGAAGAAGGGAAGGTAAAACCACCCCCCCACACACACACACAAACACAAAGAACTGAATGAAAATAGCCCTGTCTGAGCGATTAGCTACTGGAGAGCATAATGTGGGGTTTAGCTGTGATGCTCACCTGTCTCCCTGGAGGAGTCTTTTCTTGGGGTCAGGGAGCTGGGGGAGGAACATGAAGTTCCCAGGTTACATTTCCTTCTGGTCAGCTATTCCAGCTCTTGTCTCCTCCCCATTTCTTTATGGAGGGGCAAAAGCTATACACTTTGTATAGACGCAAGTATAACCAACAAAAGAACTCTGCAGCCAATCAGAGGGAAACAATGCTGCTGGCACTAATCAAAGGCTAGCCCCCATCCTCTGCAGGGCGGGGGAGAAGCCAGAAGGGAGGGAGGAAGTGCCGCCGTCAGGAAGAGAAAAAGAGAGAGAGAAATGGTGCAGCCCAAACTATACGAATCAGAACCATGATGCGATTTCTGGACCTTCTGTGGGACGGATCCAGAACCCATTCGGGTCAGAACCAGCCCGTGGCCCTTAGGTTGCTGACCTCTGTCCAGAGACTTCACAGCCATCTTCACTTCCTAGGAACTCTGGGAACTGTAGTTCTGGGAGGAACCTCTCAGAGGTTTCTGAGCCGCCTCAGCCAACTACAATTGGACATCCTGAGACTACAATTCCCAGAAAAGCTCGACCAAGGCCTTTAGCCACAGCCCTGACCAAATAACGGAGCTCTCTCTTCTCTCCCTCTCCACCTCCCACATTCACAACAAATCAGTCTCCCACTCCTCAGTCCCTTTCACTCATCTCCCCTAGCCCTAATTCTTCCACATTCCTTTAAAACATTTCGGTGAACTAAGGAACACAAAAAACACCCTCACTGGTCACCTTCCACAGGTCAAAAGCCAATGCAGAAAATATTTAATAAAAACAGTTCTAAATAGGTACACAAGAGCACAGAAAATAGGAGATGAGTTTTAAAAGCAATCTCAAATGAACATTTAACACAGGGACCTTTCATTCAGCTGGAAAATGCTATCAGTAAAAAGGTCTTCAATAGATTATGCAAAGTTCAAGTAAAGAGCGCCTGGAATGCTGATCTACAAGACAAGGGCAGCCCATCATTTTGGCAGTGAAAGGCGGACCTGAAAACTCAACAGATTCAACACACACCTTGAGCATTGCAGATTCACACTCTCTCCCGGTTTATTTAGCAAGTGTGGAGTTTGGAACTGACAGGGTTAAAACTCCGAGGTGCCCTGCTTCTGGGGAGGAGCATTTGGGAGGAGCTGGGAGCAGCCCAAGGCAGATGAAGTGCGTCATGACGCTGAGCAGATTCTTCTCTGCAACGGACAGAGAAGCAGCTGAGCTTAGAGCTGCTAAGAGTGCCTTTGGGCACGGAGATGTCGGAAGTTTCTGATGGAAGTTTTTACTGCTTTGTAAATAAACGCTAGTAGAGAGAAGAACGGACTGTCTCTGGACTGATTTATCCCTTTTTTCTCACGCGGACGCAGGACCGCTGCTACTCTGCTCTCCTGCCAGGTCAGCCTTCCCAGCAGAGTCCACACAGGGAAGAGTGACTGGACGTAGGAGTTATTTTTGTTTACATGAAGAGCAACAAGTTGCCACTTATTTTGTACATTTAGTATATGTGACCTTCATTACTTTAATACATATATATGTGTATACAAATTTAAGTACAAACACTAAAACATCATTCCATGCATTTACAACTGATTTCCCCCTTTATGAGTTTCTTGATGTAAGTAGTGAACCCTGAGTGGAAAACTCCATTTATATCATTTCCCTAGTGTGAATTTGCTAATGAATATTAAGGTCTCCTCTCCCTCTGAAGCCCTTTCCATATTCAGTACACCTTTAGTTTTCATCGTGTGTGAGTTAGCTGATGTCTTCTAAGGTGTCCATTTTGACTGAAGCTATTTCCACATTCAACACATTTAAATGGTTTCTCCTCGTGTGAGTTTGTTGGTGTCTTCTAAGGGTTCCACTTGTACTGAAGCTCTTTCTACATTCCATACATTTAAATGGTTTCTCCCCAGTATGAGTTCGTTGATGTATTCTAAGTTTCCCACTTGTACTGAAGCTCTTTCTACATTCAATACATTTAAATGGTTTCTCCCCCGTGTGAGTTAGTTGGTGTATTCTAAGTGTTCCACTTGTACTGAAGCTCTTTCCACATTCAATACATTCAAATGGTTTCTCCCCTGTGTGAGTACGTTGATGTCTTCTAAGTGTTCCACTTTCACTGAAGCTCTTTCCACATTCCATACATTTGAATGGTTTCTCCCCTGTGTGAGTTCGTTGATGTATTCTAAGTTTCCCACTTTTACTGAAGCTTTTCCCACATTCAATACATTTAAATGGTTTCTCCCCAGTATGGGTTCGTTGATGCATTCTAACTTTCCCACTTTCACTGAAGCTCTTTCCACATTCAATACATTTAAATGGTTTCTCCCCAGTGTGAGTTCGTTGATGTATTCTAAGGACTACATATTGATTGAAGCTCTTTCCACATTCAATACATTTAAATGGTTTCTCCCCCGTGTGAGTTCGTTGGTGTATTCTAAGTGCTCCATTCCTACTGAAGCTTTTTCCACATTCAATACATTTAAATGGTTTCTCCCCAGTGTGAGTTCGTTGATGTATTCTAAGGGTTCCACTTGTACTGAAGCTCTTTGCACATTCAATACATTTAAATGGTTTCTCCCCCGTGTGAGTTCGTTGATGTATTCTAAGTGTTCCACTTGTACTGAAGCTCTTTCCACATTCAATACATTCAAATGGTTTCTCTCCTTTGTGAGTTTGTTGTTGTATCCTCAGTTTCTTTCTCCTTCCCAATAAATTCACATGTGGCTCCATAGAATTCTGACTTTCATCCTCCTCAACTTTTTGGGAGTCTGGGAGGAAAGAGAATCCTGTTAGACTTTCAAGAAAGACAAAAAGGGAACTGCACACATGTCAATCCCAGCCTGCACCGTCTCTCATTTTTACACCGTCTCCATTCTCCACTGTCCTCTCTAGGTTTCATATTTTTAGGAATGAATATGAGATAATGGCAAGAGCAACACATGATCACTCCATTCACACTTGGTAAAGCACCATCATTTTATAATACAGATCTATGGTGGAATTGGCTTATTAGACACATCTATTTTTACTTTCTGAAGTGAAGAAATGATCTCAGGCTCAAGTAACAGTATCTCCCTTGTGAAATAAATAAAACTTAAGTGCTACATGTAACTGTAAAAATATTGCACTATACTGGAACCTAAGAAGAGCCTGCTGGATCAGGCAAAGGCCCACCTAGTCCAGCATCCTCTTCTCACAGAGGCCAAGCAGATGCCTGTGGGAAACCAGCAAGCAGGATTGGAGCACAAGAGTCTTCTCTGCCTTCGTGTGCTTTCTAGAAACTAGTATTAAGAAGCGTTATTGCCTAGGACCATGAGGGCAGAGCAGAGACGTCAGTCTTATCCTTTTTTTCAAGCTATCCATGTTGCTGGCCGTCACTGTCTCCTGTAGGATAGATTCCATAGATGAACTACGCTTCTGTTTTTTCATCTTTGCAGCCCTTAAAAGCTGATAAATGTATTATGGCCTACGCTTGTGTGGGCTGCAGTCTGACAAAGTGGACTCTTGACCAGGAAAGCTGGTGCCACTATAAACTTTTGAGTCTCTTTGTTGGCTTTGTGTACTTATTTTGAAATTAGCACCAAGGTTGTACCACAATATCTCCATGGAAGCTTAGGGACGGACAAAATTACAGGGTGTCAGCTCCGTGAATCTCAAGCCTCTTGTGCCTCCGCTGACAGAGCCTGAGAATGCAAGAGATGTGATTCGGTTGGAATGTGATGCAGGGGAGGAGCAGCCAAGCTGCAGCAGGAGCAAAGAACAAAGAGCAGGAAGAGGGGGTGACGGGGGGGGCACAGACTGTTAGCTCCAGTTTGAGGTCTGACAGAGCCCCCGAAATAGCCTGTCCAAAAAATCGTAGGCTCGAGAGAATCTGTGAGAAGAGGGGGAAAGAAAGCGAAAGTGGGGGCTTCTTTGCTGGAGGACTTGGCAACTGCAAGCTGGGATGAACAGGCTGAAGACTGAGCTGCACAGTGATTTGTGAATTTGAGCAATAAACCTGAGATAATTACTACTGGAGTTGTCTCACGTCTGTGCGGGAGAACAAAGCCATTACACAGGGGCTTTAAAATTATTATCCCACTCACTCACTCACTCACTCACTCTCACAAACATCCCCAGTCTTTAAGATTTACACAATTTGCTTATAATACCAGACGCTCTTGGACTTTATATGCCCAATCCTAAGTGTAGAGCCTCCAGCCACAGGAATCGTGTATCATGATAACTGGTCCTTTGTCCCTTAAGCCCACCAAACTGGGGAGGTGCATGCATCTATTGTGTTTTGATGCTGGTGGAATGTATCATTGTGACCCTGTCTATAAAAAATAAGAGGAATAGAAACAATTTAAATGCATTAATTATAAATAGTTATGGGAAGCATATCCATTCCCCTTCACCCATTGTTCAGGATTGGTGTGCAACATCATTATCATCAATTATTCTTGCCGTGGAAATAACACCTAAGATTTCAAAGCCTGGAGGAAGAAAATCTGCCCCCACTACATTAGGAAAAGGATTCAAGAAACAAAGAGCTGCTTTGGAGAAGGCCTCACCCCTTCCTTCTTCCTGTCAGGAACTTCCTTCCATTTGTCTCCTCTCCATCTTTTCCTCTTTCTCCCTCCACCATCCATCTATCCCTGTCCCCATCTCCTCTCCCCTGGAACTCACCAGATTTCTCCAAGGGTCCTGGGAGGGAATGCTCAGAGGTTGTGGGGAGGGATGCGGGAGACAGCCTGACCAGGTCAACCGTCCATCTTCCTCCTTCCATCCTGGCCAGGGTTGCAGGTTCAGTCTCAGCTAGGTTTGCAGGTTCAGATTCCTGAGGAGCGCAGAATCCAGAGCCAGTTAGTTGCAGCTTCCTGGGAGGGAGGGAAGAAGAAGCCAAGGGAGTCTGAGAGCCCCTGCAGGGATTCTCCTGCCCAAGACATTCAGCTGCCCCTGGAGAAGCCCCAATTGGGCACCCCCTTCCCAAAAGCCTCCAACCATTTTCAAACACCTTTGCCAATTCCTTTCACCTGCCTGTCCCACCTCCCTTTCCTAAGGCTGGCATGGTATGTACATTAGTGGCCTGAGAGTAGATCCCTTGGAACTTAAGAGTTAATCTGCAAAGAACTGCTCTGAATAGATGGGTGGCCCTTGCATGGAGAAGAAGGAAGCCCCATGCTTGCATCAGGACCCCCTGGGAGAGGAGGGGGATCCGCCCACTGCTCCCTCTGCCCTCGCTGCCTCCTCCTCTGTCCTCCTGCCCTGCAAACACCCTTTGCTCTTGTTCCTCAGGGGAGAGAGGCGGCTGAGGGAAAGAGCCTTCAAACCATCCATTTCCTCCTCTGCTCTCCCTCCTGTCCTTTTGGGAAACAGGAACTTTGGTCAGGAGTAAACCACTTAGATGGCAAGTTTGCAAGATAAGCACTTTAGAGCAATGCTTGTTCCTACTATATGTGTGTCTGTGTGTTTGGACCTAGAGGACAACATACACGTTTACACCACGTGATTTCTTAAAGAGGACACTTCTTTAAAACCTATTTTTACTGCTATTCTTTCCAATTCTATACTTCCCTTCCTCCAAAGATCACAGGGCTGCTTACAATAGAAAAACACAGAGATGTATAGCAGAGTAAGAAATAAAAAAGACAACCCTCCCCCCCCCCAATCCAGTTGTGAAGTCCATAGACTGTTTATTGAGCCAAACCCCTGGGAAAAGAGAAAGGCTTTCGCCTGTTGCCTAAGGAGGTACGCCGGACACTGAGGCCCTCCTGCAAGGGGTCTTCTGCTGGGTTATAAATATTGAAATTAAAATTAATACTATTATTAAGGCGATCCTGGCCAGCAATGCCCACCCCTCTCCCCTTTCCCGCCTCCTTCCTTGCAGCTCCCTTTGCACCAGATCCCTGCTGGCTGAAGCTTCTCCCCCCCTGCCCTCCAGGCCCCCTTTAAGGAAACAGCTCCCTTCCCTCCCTTCTCCCCGCCCGGATCTTGTGCAGGGCCGCCTCTCCCCGTCCCGGGGCTTCTCCTCCTGGACCCCCTCGCAAAGCCCCTTCCCTCCTTCCCCGCCACTGGCTTTGCACTCACCCGAAATCCCGGGCAGCGGGGGCGGGAATGGGAGCCCCCGCGTGGGAGGCAGGGAGTGAGGGCGCTTAATTAGGAGCCTTAATTAGGAAGAAGCCCCATCCTCCGCCTCCGCACGACGCAGCCCCGCTTCCGCCTCCTCCCCTCCCTCCCTCCTTTGCCAGCCGGGAAATTATCTCTGCTGGTGAAGCCGGAAGTGGAGGCAACTCAGAGGAGGAAGGAGAAGTTTCTCTCCACGCTCAGCCGCTTGTCTGTTATTTGATAATTGGGGGAAGGAAAACCTTGTAGCCCCCAACCAATGGGGAGACGAGGGAGGGAACGTGTGCATGGGGAATAAAAGCTCATTCTTTGCCCCAGCTGGACTGTGCCTGCTTTGGCTCTCAGCTCTTGCAAGAATATATTGTCGTCACTGCTTCACCAGTTTTGTTCAGATTGCATTTTAAGGAGCTAGTTCAAGGGTCTTGTTATAGGAAAATCCTTGAGCTTCCCTGGATTACCAAACAAAGACACCAACCAGGAATATAGGAGCAAACAGCAGCCAGGAGGCCTGATCTTTATTTTTAAAAAACTATTGCAACAGGACTTCCACCTACCACCCGGAAGGAAGCCCAGAACAAAGGGTGGCTCCCACTTTGATCAGTTTTACAGAGATACCTACAACACCCCTAAAATTACATCATGGATACTGTTGTGTATTGAGTAAAAGGATTTTATATCTGTATTATTATTGTCTGTATTTGCATTAGGGTAAAGTAACTGCCTTTTGGTTTCAGAGGGTACAGCTACTATTGGTTCATTTAAACTGCTGTATTTGGATCCTCTGTCTTATTGGTTTCCTCCAAAAGGCAGGACTGTGATTGCCTGATATTGTTCCCTCCAAAATGTATCCTTTCTAGCTAGTCCCCTGTCCCTATAAATGTAGCTTTCCCCTCCTCAGTCTTCAGTCTTGTTTGCTGTAATAAAGAAGTGTTACTAGAGAACTGTCTCCAGCATATTATGTCAAGAGAGCTGAAATCACAAACCCCACGTCACAACAGATACATTACAAATTACATCACAATTTTTTTGGGGGGGGCGTGTCTGGCGACAGAAACCTGAGCATCAGGGCTTGCCCCCACCCTTCGACTGACCTCCACCATACACTCATCAAGTGATGCAAAAGAGATATTTACATGTCCCTGTTTCCCAGCCAAGTTAATCACACCCTTTTGTCTTGATCTGGGTTTGCTATTGTTTCTGGAATGGTTTACCTGTCCCGCACTCAGGTATCAGGATGCCAGAGATTATATCACTCAGGCAGAGGGGCTGCTGAGTACATGGGCTCACACTATAGAGATTATGGCTGCCCTCACTCATGTCCCAAGCTCCTCCCTTGGCAGCCATTTCCTTCCTGAACAGAACAACGTTGGAATGGTGTAAATCCAACACTCAAGTGATTCTATATGAATTTCTGAAGTTTTCCCAGTGAGCCAGTGCATAGATACAGTGGTACCTCGGGTTACATACGCTTCAGGTTACAGACTCCCCTAACCCAGAAATAGTACCTCGGGTTAAGAACTTTGCTTCAGGATGAGAACAGAAATTGTCCTCCGGCGGTGCAGCGGCCCCATTAGCTAAAGTGGTGCTTCAGGTTAAGAACAGTTTCAGGTTAAGAACGGACTTGCGGAACGAATTAAGTACTTAACCCGAGGTACCACTGTACATTTATCAGTGAATTGTTATGTGCAGCAGAGTCCCTTTGAATAGATAGGGAAAACTGTAATGAAGTGTTTTGTGGGGACATTTGCAGAAGTGATTGTGTTGATTTTGGTAGTGTGTGTGTGTGATGTCTGCTGAAGGGGCAACACTCTCTCTCTGGCTTATTGCACATTCATTACACACAGTGTCTTTTGCAGTGGCCTGTATTCTCCTCACAGACACAGAGACACAGGAACATTGAACAGGGACTTGCAGCAGCAGCAGCTGCCGGACAGACTAACTGCCAAAGAATTCCTCCCATGCAACCCCTCCCATGAATCTTTTGGGGGGAACCATGTACTTTAAATATGTGCTGAATGTACACCACGGATGTGAAATAAATATTCTTCGTGGGAAGTACTGAGAGAAAGTGGAGGGCAATTTTAATTTGTGAGGACAGAGGGGGAGTTCTATGCTTCGTTTTCTGTCATGAAAAATAAAGCAATAAATTTAAGAAGCAACCCCTTTTTTCAGTGCTTGCTATTAAAGCAATAAAGGTGCAGGTACTCACCATGGAATTGTTACAGTAAGTGCCATACTTTGAACAGTTGGGGAATGTTGGGGATGTTTGAGTACTCGCGGAATGAAGCCCCACTTTTCCCCCAAACACCATAATTGCACAGGGGGTGGAAGACGATTGGCTCTGTCCAGTAATACCTGTATGCAGCTGTTATACTTAAAATACTGCTCCCTTTCCCTTATGGAGTATCTAAAAGCCCATATAGAGTCCTTAAGTAGGTTCTCTATCAGTAGGAGAAAATAACAGAGGCTGTTATGAGAATTATAAGGTCTAAGATATAAAATAAATGTTCATAAATGTACCAGGCAAACACATACATAAATATATATAACAGACATTTAATTCCAGCAAGCTGGTCTCTGACCATAATAATAAATTAATTATTATTATTCTTAAAAACAGAGGCCAGCCAGAGAATATTGAGAAGCAAAGCAGCTAGTAAGCATGAGCTTTATTAAACTGTTGCAACAGGGTCCCCCACTCCCCACACACAGGGAGGGAAGAGAGGAACCTAGAACAATGGTGTGCAAGCTCTTATATAGACATTTGAAAATTGCCTCCTCTGTAGCTCAAGACCACCCCCCAAAACATCATTCATATATCAAGGGGCGGTCTACAGCAGAAAACCTGTCTGCCAGGATACCTGATAATGGTCACTGATTGCCTTTACCTGGGCATCCTGGCCATTTTTTCTGATGGTTAATACTTTAGTTCCTGAATCCAGCTCACAGGCTCACCCTGTTCATACACAGATACGCTCTTAAGAAAGGATTTGTTTTCAAAACATCGCTGCACAGCCAACTCCCCAGCTCTTGCTGTAAATAGAGGGTCTTTATATGATACCTGGGGGCCCTGCAAGACAGCCGGTCAGAACAGAAAAGGGAGGGGGTTTGGAGGGGGTGTCGCCCCGAAAAGAAGCGGCTCTGGCCCAGCAGAAACCCACCCTTCCCTCCCTCTCGGCAGCCTGACCAAGAGGGCAAGTTGAGGTTGGGGGCAGTGCGCAATGTGAGGGAAGGCAAGAGGCTGCATGCGTCTCTCTCTCTGTGTGAGTGGGTATCCAAGTGGAGGGATGGTGAAGGGAGCCAGCCCAGCACCAGGATTCAGAGGTTCCTTTCCTTAGTGGAATGAGAGGGTTGCTGCCTCTGCTGCTGCTGCCGCCATCACATCACACGAAGGCAGCAAAAGCAGCAGCTGGCAGCTGTCCGGGTTTGGTTCAGCACAGCCACTGGCCTCGTTGCCTGTCTGTCTCCCTGCACAGGCAGGTGTGTGGGGGGTGTATGTGAGACCCAGAGAAGCTGGGCAGAGGGACGCTGCTTGGGGCATTTCCCGCAGGGCCACCCTTTTTAAAAATATTTTTTTATTCTTTATTTTATTTATTTTGTAAAATA